TACATATAGAAGATTCTTCTGGTGCTTGCATGCAACATGGGGAAGCCGTAATCGCAGAGGAGTCGACGCTAGGGTCAAGATCTTTTTCAGTCGGGGTTAGGAGCGTAGTAAGAGTAGCGTCGTCAGTCTGGGTCTCTAATAAAGAAGAATTGTCATTTTTAATTACGCCCTCGGTAGCAATACGGGCCTCCAATTGCGCTTTCTATTAAAAGAGAATTATTCCTTTCAATAACGCCCTCGATTCGTTTGCGATTGTGATCTCGCCGGCCACGGAAGCGTGATATAAATCGGGATGGGCCTTCCGCATATGCTGTCTCAGGCTCGGATATGTAGAAAATGTCCTTCCACAAGAGCAAGCACACGAGTGCTCCTCCTTCCCGATCTGTGGCTGTTCGACAACTTTGTGGCACTCCTTCTTGTGTCTACACAACGCTTGCATGGATCGATACACTTTACCGCAAAATGGGCTAGGGCACTTAAGATCAGGTGTATCGTTGACTAAAGGGGTACCTAAGTCATCAGAACATCCGGCCTGTCTATGATGTTTAAGGCTGGTGGCGTGTTTGAAGGTTTTGTCACACCCACATTTGAAGGAGTTAGAGGGCAATATCTCTTCCTTTATGTGGCCTGGCAGAACCTCCCCAGATGGCGGTGGGACATTTGGTTATTGTATGAAAGCAGAACCAGGAAAAAAAACCCTTTCCAACGAAACGTCGCGGTACTGACAGGTTTCAAGGCCGGTTCCGATTTGAACGGCCCGAAGATATTAGCAGGTGCGTATCGTCCACTTTAAAACCTTTTCCGTTCAAATCGAACCACTAATAGCCGAGTTTTGCAAAAATTGCAAGGGCGTCCCGGGCGTCGAAATGCTGGGAATGTTATTTTCGAACACCTAGCCTCCTCTCGAATCCGGATAACATTGGCGTCGCGACGCTGATTTTTTGTGAGGATGTCAAATCGAACCTCGCCTAGCACAGCGCGAGAAAACTGATGACAACACATATACATACTTCCCTTGATAATAGATTTCCGGAGCCGCTGTCATTCACGACGTCCAGAAACAAGGGAAGAATATCTAAATTAATAATATTTTTTAATTACAGACGCTCGCTCTGTGGACGCTTTCCCTAAAAGGGCAACAAAAAAAATGAAAACCTAACCCAGGTGATAGATCCCGAACCACCGAAGAGTCCCAGGAAGACGTCTGCACCTTCGGGAAACCCGTAGGGATGCCGCACATGGAGGAACAAAAATTCCCGGAAGGGCAATATCTTTAAGAGGGCGCTATTAGTGTAGAATTCTTAAAATGTACCCAATGTTATTAATAAAGTACGAAGTAGCAAAAACCTAGATAATTTTTATCACTTTTATCGCCTGATATATTCCAACACGCTGGTTTTTAGTTATACGAAAATTTTCCCGAACTCTTGTCAATTCAAAAAACAATTTCTCGGAAACCGTCCGTGGGATAGAAAAACGAAAATAACAGCGACAATCCTTGCCACGTGCCGCGTCTTTTAATACCCGTATAGGGCGCAGATTGAAAAACTCGATCTAATTAATTCTCGGATTTTGCTTCTGCACTTTTAAAACTCGATATCTTGAGAAGTAAAAGGCCGGGAAGGAAAACGAAAACACTCATGTGACCCTTGAGACGTGCCCTAACGATTAAGACCATTTATCAAAATCAGACACTAATCACAAATTCACATTTTGGAAATCGACGGAGCCGAGGTGAAACACGTCCGACCCCGCCGTATACCCGCGCCCCAGCGTCCGCGACCGCTGCTCCCGACCTAAGACCCACTTCCGATAGCGTGAGGGTGTCCGCGCAAGCCTAGGTCGACCAAACGTGTTTCTATTTCAGCAGCACTAGTCGGCTCAATGCTTGGCACCGAGGCACGCCGCCCCATGCGTTGTAGGCGAAATTTCGGACCGTTACCCACCGTCCCACCGGAATTTCGTCGGAACCTCCTCAATAACATCAGTTTGGAATAATTGCGAGTATAATTAGTAAATATAAGATCATGTATTAACTCACTATATAATAGGAGTAAGAGATATATGGTTCTAACTCAAATTGATTGCGATGATACAAATGTTAATTTAAAAACACGCCGCAGAAATCCACTTATTTAGATTTTACTTCTTGATTCTAGTAACGACATCTAACGTCGGGATCATTTTTCCAAAGTTATTATTCACATTTTATAACTTCTTGTCCGACATTTTAAAATTGTACGTTTGTAAATAAGTTTTCGATGTTGATTGGAGTATATTAAACCAGGCCGATGAAAAAAATTATTAGCGATATAATAATCATTTATTTACAAACTCCTTAAAAAGGGTAGAAATCTTCATGTGCTATATTTAGGCTGCGGGTGACGGTAAAGGGAGTTCTTCCGGTTGGTACCTGAAGGCGGAAGTGTCGAGAAGCGAGACAGAGAGAATCGGTTGATGCCAAAGCTCTTTCTGTTCCTTATTTTGATGTCACCGAACTTCAGTGGTGCATCCTTACAAGTTTTCTTGTTATTAGTATTGCAGTCTGTTTTGTGACTTTTTTTATATTTTACTTCCCGTTTCGTAAGTAGAGTACCCGGACAGACGTGGTCGACATTACGAGACGATAGGGATGTTATCATCTGCATGTGGCGGATTTCTCTCGTTGAGTTGTGGTATGACGTAAGGTGTAAAAAGTGAGATGGGTAGTCACTTCGGCTAACGATCCTAACCCCATTGTTATGTTTATAAATTTGAGGTTCCAGTATAGTTGCTTGAAAGGGCATTAATTGGTTTGCAGATTCACAAGATGTCATCCATGGATTTTTGTGAGTACTGTGATTTCAAAAGTTAATCAGTTTCTATCTCTCAGACTGTTCTTCCCACCTTGGGAGTAACCAGTTAGAGCTATTCACCTCTTTCAATCGTTGCATATTATTGCTATTCGACGACTTATCTGTGTACCTATCCTTATTTTTTTAAATTGTATTGATGTTTGTTACTTGTTTAAACTCCATATTAATCTTAATACCTATTAAAATAAAAAAAAAATAGAGTGTAAATAATTTATTAGCAGGCAGTGCTACACGTGTTTCGGTACAAGATTTTCTCTTCTGCACGAAGAAGGTACTGTGTACCTGTGTACCAGAACATATACTAATAAATCATTTAACCTCTTTGAAGTTTTTTTTATTTTAATGTTAAGATTGATACCTGTATTTGGGTTTGATGATTTTCACACCTCGTTAAGTAACAACTTATAAAAACTGAACTTAAATAATGTAACTGCCAAATCGTCCGCCATTTTGTCGAGCTTTTCGAAAGGTAAAGACTTACATCTGGGATTACAATAACAAATTCTATTGTATGTACGCATATTAAATTTCGCGTGTTGATGACGTCATGAGTTACTCGGTGTCATTCCAATGGAGACAACGTTATTCAAATTTTTCTTTCAGTTCTACAAACTTTGATTTAAAACTTTTGTAATTAGGGTAAATGTGTACAAGAGTACGCACTTAGTGTAAAACTGTCAACAACTTTTTAATTTTTTTGGATAGGCAAATTTTATGATATGGGTTCGTTATATACATGTTTAGGGATCAGATATATTTAATTGTACGCCCCAACACCACTATATTTTAAGAGTAATTTCAATTTTTGTCAAGATGTGTAAATGCGCACTGTTAGACAGTTCATTGCACAAGAGTGCGCATTTGAACGCTTATGAGTACGCATTACATTTTATGAAAAAATATTTGTTTCTAAGGTGAAAATAAATGGGAATAAGTGACTACAGACTACACATAAAACGGGAGACCTATTTCTTCGTACTCTAGGGGTCTTGAAAAGACGAGAAAACGTAAAAATAGAGAGTCGGTCGACGGACTCGATTACAACACGCTCAGGAAGTAAAAATAAAAAAAAAATCACCATAACCACCACCCCACAACTCGAGAAGCAGTACAAAGTAGTAGAGTTAAATAATTCATTACCGTATGATATGTATCTCCAAGACTATTAGACTACGTATTGCAAGCAATGCGCACGCTTATACAATACCTCGCTGCGCACTCTTGTACATTTGTACACAACCTAATGTTTTCAAAGTTAAAAGCTTTTGATGGACAGAAAGTGTAAAACTGTTAGTGTATAACGACACCTTAAAAGTTACAACTAATGAAAATTATTACTGTAAAATAAAAGAACTGGTACGTACCTTACAAAAAACTAAAACTATGAGCGGTAAAAATTACATCCACACAACGTGTGAACATAAAATCGTTAGTACGACCAAACTATAAACTATATTCAGGTCACTTTTGCACCTTTATCTCAGGTTTAACATTAAATTCTGAATGGTATAACTTCATCTTACCCAGATGGCACTAATAAGCAGAAATCATCAGTGCGTACTCTTATACATATGCGCACTCTTGTACACATTTACCCTACTTCTGCAGGAAAATCAACATATTTTACTTCCTTTTAGGTGTAACGAAAATATTCAAGCACTTCATCATTTATCCTGCAGTGAATTAGGTAAGTACTTTTGTTATTCAAAAAATCGAAACGTCACTTTCGACGTAAGACTGTTACCTTATTATTCCTCTGTACTGGTTTTAAGAGTGCTCCAAAAAGGTCGTTACGTTTGTGTTTTTGTGGAAACAATAATATTATGGTGTGTGTGTGTGTGTGTGTGTGTGTGTGTTTTTTTATATTAGCCTTGTCGACATCCACGTGTGGCAATGAACCTACCTGTTTGTTTTTCCATGTTTGGCGCTATATGCGCACTGTTCTGTGGGTAATTGAATTTTAAGGTTATGTACCAGAGGGTTTTAATTGTCAATGAGAAATATTGGCGGTTGTAATTTGTGGGGTTACGTGCGTCAATGTTGTTTTTAATTTTGAATACTCTTTAACTGTCTTCGAACGAGACTTGGGTAAGAAGACGGTCAGTTTTCTTCTATAGCGTGATAAAATGGTTTTAGGTTGCCAAAATGTCAGCTCTGGAATACTGTGAAACGTTCGGAACATGTGGGAAGTCTTCATGGAAAAATGTTCACAAATGTAAAGTATGCCACCACTTTACAACTGTCCTTACCCTTATGATCAGCCACGTGAGACGACACCGTTTTCCTGTGGAACAATTTACGTGCGACAACGCCAAAATTGAAGCTTATTACTGTAAAGATTGCGATTTTAAAACGGAACTAACAGTTTTGTTCAAAGAACACATTAATAAATATCATGGGCTTAAGAGAGAATCTAGAGACGATTTATTAAGTGAGGACTTCCACATACAAAATTACGTCTGCGAAAAATGCGACTTTGAAACAAATCTTTCGTTGAAGTGGCTTCAGCATACTTTAACATGCACGAGAAATAAAGAAAATCCTCGAAGTGTGACTTCTTCGTCACAGAATGACACATACAGTTTCGATTTCAAGCGAACTGACGAAACAAGTTGGTATTACTGTGTGCAATGTTCCTACAAAGCTAAACTCAAAGGTACTTTAAAATCTCATATTATGACAAAACACGAGATGAACAAGCGATATGCATGCGAAAAGTGTCCATTTAAATGTAGAGGGAAATCACATTTAAAAATACACATAAATCGAACTCATTTAGATGAACAAGATGTTGAATGGCACAAGTGCAACAAGTGTGTATTCAAGGCCAAAGCAAAAAGTAATTTAACGAGACATGTAAAAAGACGTCACTTGAACGATGAAGACGTTAGATGGTATAAATGCAATGAGTGTCTTTTTAAAACTAAAGCTAAAAGTGATCTAAAGAAACACGCAATTAGAAAACATCTAGACGAAGAAAAAATTAACTGGCACGAATGTGAACAATGCCCATTTAAAAGTAAATGTGCGTGGGATTTAAAAAGGCATATTGTTTTTAGACATTTGGATGAAGAAAACGTTAAGTGGCATCAGTGTCATTATTGCCCATATAAGGCGAAATCCAATGCTATTTTAAAGTGCCATATAAATCATCGCCATTTGGATGAAACTGAAATTAAATGGTACAAATGCAATGAGTGTCGTTTCAAAACTAAGTATAAAGTTTGTTTAGAGAGACACGCAGTTACAAAACATCTAGACCAAGAAAAAATTAACTGGCACGAATGTGAAAAATGCTCATATAAAACTAAATATGCGTCGGATTTAAAAAGGCATACGATTTTGAGACATTTGGATGAAGAAAACGTTAAGTGGTATCAATGTGTTCATTGTCCATTTAAGACGAAATTAAATCCTACATTAAAGTGCCATATAAATAGCCGCCATTTGGATGAAACTGAAGCTAAATGGTACAAATGCGAACACTGCCCTTACAAAAGTAAAAATCGTTCATCTTTTTATTCGCACAGAAAGAAACATATTGGGATTTAATTAACCATAATCCGGAAAGGAATTTTAATTTGTATACATATGTTGTTTGTTTAGCCACTACTTTTTTTAACCATTTTTTCAGTCGTCTACAATGTACTATGTTATGTGACGTGGTTTTTTCATTAAGATCATAAATTAAAGTTCTATTTTTGTTACATTAAATAAATGTAACAGTTTTAAAAAATAAAATTACATTAGTAGAACACATAGATGCAAAGTTTTTTACGCAATAAAAAATAAGGAATTATCATAAAATTTACTATTGTTTCAATTTAGGATCTAAATATCTTGGGTCTCTCGAGGAACACAGAGGGTGGATGGACTTTGTTGATTACTGCATTAGGAACGCAGCGAGGTTAATTGGTGGACACTTAAGGTGTTGTTTCTTCAGATCAGGGTGCTTTTTCCTGCTTCCAATTCTTCAATGACATCTTGAGTCTGGACCAGGTGTTCTTTATTTAATGTTTATCGTTTATGTATTTTTGGTGGAGCCAAATTTGCCCCCATCGGACTAGAGTATCTGGCCCTAAACGGTAGTGTTGTTGTTCTTCTATGTGTTAGTGGATTTTGTTTTAGTCTCTATGTACTTCCCCCGATTTGAACTGGTTTCTGGTCGAGCGGTTTTTCTAATTTTCTGTTTTGGCTTTTCTTTCTTTGATCCTGGAAATTGTCCCTTCAATTGTTCTGTATGTTGTGCTTTGTATCTAAGACGATTGACACATTTGTATATTAGAAACTTGACAGTATTTTTCCCATTCAGAATTCAAATTTCCTTCTGATATTTGCTAGTGCATCTAGCTCGGTTCTCTTTATATGTATAACTGGGTTTGATGAGCGTCCAAACAAATTAATTTGATCAAGTGATCCTTATTTCATAAAATTATTGGAACTCTTGAGTGTATGCAAAAAGCCATTGTTTCAGTCTTTCACTTACACGAAGTTATCCATCTTTGTCTATAATAAACATGAAATTGACAGTTTGTTCGGCTTTTTATTTAGCTTCTTTTTTCGTAGTGTACTTTAAGTCTTATGTCTTGAACACGTCTTCTTGTATGTGTATTAAAATTTGCTTGGTTTCTTTCCACGACTATTGTGCAACTTATGTTTTTTGTATCGGCATGACGCGAACTGTTTTCGTGAGCGAGGAATATCTTGTTCTCACTTTGACTGCCCGAATTTGATTAAATAATTTCACTTCTTTGGATAACCGCGGTAACTGGTTGGTTTCTCTCTTGGTTTACGTCCCATTTTGCAGCCAATCCAGGTCCTTGGCATCAAATTTTCTGTGCTCTTAGTTTCGATGTTTTTGTTTCGCTGGAATGTTTTTTTCGTGGTTTTCTTCGCATAATTTTTCATTACTGAGGATTTGTCGCGATGCTGGCGTCTCTTCAATTTTCTCCAATTTTGCAGTTTGCTGATCTTCTATTTTTGGGATCATACTTTTTATATTTTCCCGGGCCTAGTAATACATCAGTTGCAACCTATTTTGGAAGACTGGATCCTCTACATGCAAGTCGGCCTCACCGGAAGATAGATTTCGATGTCTTCTTACACAGATTGTGTAATTTTTGGTAGTACTAGCAGTTCTATTTTAAGTGTAAAATCACTCGGAAACCTTGCATTCTACAATTATTTTAGACTGCGTTTTTTTGGTGTTGCATCTTTCCACCTTTCCTGGGGCATTGTTAGAGCTGCTTCGGCATTATTAATTATTGCTTGACCTTTTCGTACTTAATTTCACTCACCTGTTGGCCACAAAATACCTAAAATGAAAGTGTTCCCTTTAATTTAAATATCTAGCTTTAAATTTACAATATTTTTAAGTAAAATATGTTTCTTGAATAATATACAGCTTGGTTCACGGATCTTGCCATTGTATTACTAGCTGTTCTTTCAAGTTGGTTTGTAGTCAATAAATACGGTTTTCCTGGAAAACGGATCCCTGTAAAATAAAAACGTAGGTTCATGAAAATGAACTGGGCAACAGACAGCGATAAATGAGGATATTTCTTGATTAGGGTAGTAATAAATTTTACGGCAGGTAAATCCGAATTTTGTCTCACACACAATAGACAGGAAAAACCATTGTTGCAGTTATAGCACTTTAGCCATGAAACTAAAATTTACATTTTAGAAAGCTGCAGATGTGTAAAAACTAAAATTTATTTCAAATTAAGAAGAAACCGTTTAGGTTAGATAAATCTGATTTTAGGACAAAATAGGCGAAAAACCACCATTTTGGCCTTTAAAAGTCAAAATAGGCAATTAGGTAAAATAAAACATGGCTTGATCGTTTTGATTTGTCGAGAAACACCGATTTTTGCTTATTTTTAGTTTCCTTGAATCAAAACAGAGAGGTGTTTTGCCAAAAATCCTGTCTCTAATAATTTCTTTTTGTAAACAACAAGTTTTAAAAAATGCATATTTTGCAAATTTTTCAATTTTATTGCACATTTACCAATTAAGTGCACATTTAAGCAAATTTTTGTAAACTTTTCAAATTGTACCCCAACTTAAAAATACCAGGTCATTTCGGTAGAATTCTTGCTTAGAACAACCAGTATTTAAGACCTCCTAATCCGAACTGGAGACATTCCATTTATTGGTATATTGAATAGGCCGTATCCTGCTTAAATTTATCTTAATTGTCCTTTATGTAACTCTTCAGGTAGCATCTTTCTAGCAGCTACTCATTTTGTCATTTAGTCGTTTCATTCTTAATTTTGTCAGTCCGTATTTTGGTGCTGCATGGCAAGTGAACTTCAAATCCAAAATTACAAATGTCACGTCTGGATAAAAAAGTACCCCAAACTAGTGTTAATTAGATAAAAATTCTCAATATTCTTACGAAATAAAACCGTAGACCACCCAGGTACGACGCCCATGGACCGTCGAGAACTTTTTAGGATGGACGGCAATGATGGGTGACTCATCATTGGTGACGCGGCTCAGCGACGTTCGAAAAGCCTGGAAGTGGAAGTCGCGAATACCTAATTCGAGAAAAACCTCGATCGTCGAAGTGTGGGTTTAAACATAGGCCGCCTTCGGGAACCATTATTATTCAGTCAGCGAGTCCAGTCAGCAAGTCGAGTCGAGTGAACCACGTAATTATTCTTTAATTAATCGCTGTAATAATTGGTCGTGTAATTCGAGTTATTAAGAAATAAATTCTCGAGTTTTACCCACGCCGATCGTGTTCAGCGATCAACGTAACAATATGTATTTTGTAGAGTGTGCTGAAAAAAGGTAAGTAAGGTATCTAAATTTGTATCATTAATGTATATATATTTTTGAACTTGTCACATTTATTTTTATTAGTTTCAGTTTCAAACAATTGGTTTAATCTATTGATATGTTATTGCTTTCAATTAACCGCGCGAAGTAAAGTATGTACAATATGAATTAATTTTGTTGTTCACGTCGCCGGTGAAAAATTTTTCGATAATTCAGCATATTGGGACAAGTCTTCACAAAATCAAGCTGAAGAATTCTATTCATGTGAAGTCACAAAGTCTGCTCGCAGAATCTTTCTCCAATATCCAGAAGATGACAGCTTAACAAGAATATTGATTCGAATTGTGTGAGATATTCCTGAATAATCCCAAGTTATGATCACTTCCTAAAAAGCATACCATGAAGTCAGTTCCAGATGAAAGTACCTTAAGAGAAAACTACGTAGACAATAGTAATAACAATAACATTTGTAACTAGTTGATCTTGGAAACCACACAGTCTATTATAATAAATAATTAATTCAGCGTCCCATAACAGAGATGCCGTGTTGAAATTTAGATGTGGCCCGCTTCTCTGATTACGATTTTACGTTTCGTTAATTTCTTTTTCATGATGGCTGTAAATGGTTGTAAAATTCAACGTTATTAGAAAACGCTAATATATATATATATTTAATTTTTTTACAAAAAAATTAAACAGTAAACAATAGTACTATGCAAACGTGAACAACGCGTTTTAAAATGTCTCTGTGAAAATTACACATAACTGCAATAATTACACCGAAAGATCAGCCTTAAATCATCAAAACCAATGCAACTAAACTGCCCAATTTCAAATATTTCATATTAAAGTCACTAGATAACCAAAGTACGACAGTTCAATGTCCCAGTGTGTAAGAAAGAGAAGTACCTTGCGTTGCGCGCCCTCATACGGTTACAAGACAAACGACCACCCATGAAAACGGGTCAGTAAAAATAGCGAGTTGTCTCTACTGATTGATATCTATACTGTGGTGGTACGCTGCAATTGGCGGTACCAGCGTACCAGGCGCACCTTCGGTTGCCTAGCTGTTCAGCGTCAAGAAGTCTACAATACTTCCCCCATACTTCATAATGGAATTTTCGGAGTTCTACGTAACCTGGAGGTAGTTAGAGACTCCTGTGGTACGAAGACTAGTTTAACTAGATCTAGACTTCTTATGATCTTTGTTCTAAAAGAAACTGTGAAGCTGATAGACAAAAGTACTACACTGTGTTGTCCTGATTTGAAAACGAAATTTCACACTAAGAAAAGGAAACAACCCCAGGAAAATCCCATTTGAAAAACAAAAATCATTTTAATAATGTACTCTGGTAATTAGAGAAGGTAAGAGGACATGGAATGCCAGGCATGTCAAATTTGTTACTCTTTGTTTTGGTGCGTCACAATCTAGCCATGTGAATAATGCAAACTCCGCACAGCCCCCGCGAGTATAATTAACAAATATAGAATCATTTATTAACTAAGTATTTGTTTTCAAATCGTAAGTGAAGTCTAAGTTACCGTTGGAAATGTAGACAACATTTCGATTAACAAAAGATGTAAATTTACACCAACATAATTTCAGTCAGTCAATCGCACAATTGCAACGAATACATTCGCAGTAAAATCTTATCACATGAAAGAGGTCCGATAAATTGTTTCGATTTTTGAATTCCTTTAGGACACGTAGCATAATAAGAGTAAGACATATATATCTAACTCAAGTTGATGGCAATGATACATGTGTTAATTTAGAAACACGCCGCAGAAATACATTTATTTAGGTTTCATTTCTTTATTCTAGTAACGTCGGGATGATTTTTCCTAAGTTATTATTCACATTTTATAACTTCTCGTTCGACATTTTAAAATTGTACCTTTGTAAATAAGTTTTCGGTGTTGTTTGGGCAATATTAAACCAGGTCGATGAATAAAATTACTAGTGATATAATAATTATTTATTCACAAATTCCTTGAAAAGCATAGAAATCTTCAAGGGCTATATTTAGGCTCCGGGTGACGGTAACGGGAGTTCTTCCGGTTGGTGTCACCGAGCGTCAGTTGCGGTTGGCAATACGATTGGTGTGAGCGGATTCGTGAGTTACGCAATCTTCGGGCAGAATGGAGTGCATCGTAACAAGTTTTCTTGTTATTAGTGTTGTAGTCTGTTATGACTTTTGCTATATTTTAGATTCGATTTCGTAAGTAGGGTACCCGGACAGACGTGACCGGCATTACGAGAGCATAGGGATGTTGCTATTTGGCAGATTTCGCTCGTTGAGGTGTGGTATGATGTAAGGTGTAAAAAGGGAGGTAGGCAGTCACGTCGACTAAGGTTTCTAACCCCATTGTTATGTTTATAAATTTGAGGTTCCAGAATAGTTCAAACTATTCTTCGCACTTTGGGGTAACCAGTTGGAGCTATTCACCTCTTTCATTTGTTGTATATTATTGGTAGTCGACGATTTATTTATATACCTATTCTTATTTTTTTAATTTGTATTGATGTTTGTTACTTGTTTAAACTCCATATTAATCTTAATACTTATTAAAGTAAAAAACTTTACACGTGTTTCGGTACAAGAGTTTCTCTTCTGCCCGAAGAGGGTACTGTGTACCGAAATACGTGCAGCAGTACCTACTAATAAATCATTTAACCTCTTTAAAGTTTTTTTATTTTAATGTTAAGATTGATACCTATCCTTGGGCTCATTGATTTTCATACCTGGTTAAGTAACAACTTATACAGGGTTAGTCACGAGAGAATTACTTCTGAAATTTATTTTTACGCAACCCAAAATACGAATACCATGTGCCATTTGATACTAACTGAATTTAGAATGAAATGCTTAATCCATGATTGCTTTGAGTTTGACAATCTCATTTTGACAATTGTGGAAAAGGAGGTTACGCGAGTGTCCATGGTGGTACCGCAGCCAGTCGGAAATCTCCTCCGGCGCCGCTAATAAATTTGTCAGTGTCAGCCTCTTGGTCTTTTCCAACCGATTAATCACGAGAAAATTATTTCTAAAAATTCCTTTTACGGCTTTTATTCAAAGGTTACAACACAAACTCAAACAAGTAAGTAAATATAATTTAACTACTAATCTGTTGAAAATGTTGGGCATTTTGGGGAGATGCTACGGCTTTTTTGTAAATGGATGGCCGAAGAAGTCCAGAGGTTGTAGATTTGCACTTCGAAGAGGCTCTAGGTGACGCAGAGATGGCGAATTAACACAGGCACATTAGCGGCGAACAACATTGGTAGAGCACTTACGGCTTCAGTATAGCCCAGATTGATCTGACTGTATGTCGTCGATCCAAGGGGGCTCTAGAAGCGAGTCAACGATGAAACAAAATGTTAAAAATTAATTAACGTCAAAGTGACACTGCCAAAGCAAAGCAATCATGGATTAGGCATTTCATTTTAAATTTAGATAATATCAAGTGGTACGGGGTATTAGTATTTTGGGTTGCGTAAAAATAATTTTCAGAAGTAATTCTCTCGTGACTAACCCTGTATATATTGAACCTAAAAAATGTAACTGCCAAATCGTCCGCTATTTTATCGAACTATTGGAAAGGTAAAGACAAATTCTATTGCATATACGCATCTAAATTTCGCGTATTGATGACGTCAAAAGTTACTCGGTGTCATTTCTGTGGAGACAAGTTTATTCAGATAGTTTATTTCAGTTCTACCAACCTTGATTTAAAATATGCATGCACTTCATCATTTATCTTCAGTGGACTAGGAACTTTTGTTATTCAAAAAATCGAAATATTATTTTCGACGTAAGACTGTTACCTTATTATTCCTGTGTATTCTGCATTACTTGAACGGTTAGAGACAGACCTTCTAGCGATGGTTTCGGTTTTAAAAGTGCTCCAAAGAGGTTCTTAGGTTTGTATTTTCGTGGAAACCACAAAACTTAACTTTATGAAATCACAAACTCCAGTTTCACACAGAAGTGTGGCAATGAACCTACCTGTTTGTTTTTCCATGTTTGTCGCTATATGTTCATTGTTCTGTGGGTAATTGAATTTTAAGGTTATGTACCAGAGGGTTTTAATTAATGAGAGAAATTGGCGGTTTTAATTTGTGGAGTTACGTGCGTCAATGTTGTTTTTAATTTTTAATATTCTTTAACTGTCTTCGAACGTGATTTGGGTAAGAAGACGGGCAGTTTTCTTCTATAGTGTGATAGAATGGTTTTAGGTTGCCAAAATGTCAGCTCTGGAATACTGTGAAACGTTCGCAACACGTGGGAAGTCTTCATGGAAAAATGTTCACAGATGTAAATTATGCCCCTATTTTACAACTGCTGTTTTCCTTATGATCAACCACGTCAGACGACACCGTTTCCCTCTGGAAAAATTTACTTGCGACAACGCCAAAATTGAAGCTTATTTTTGTAAAATTTGCGATTTTAAGACGGAACTAACAGTTTTGTTCAAAGAACACATTATTAAATATCATAGGCTTAAGAAGGAATCTAGAGACGATTTATTAAGTGAGGACTTCCGCATACACACCTATGTTTGCGAAAAATGCGACTTTGAAACAAATTTCTCGTTTAAGTGGATTCAGCATATTTCAGCGTGCACGAAAAAGAAAGAATATCCTCAAAGTGTGACTTCTCCGTCACAGAATGACACATACAGTTTCAATTTCAAACGAACTGACGAAACAAGTTGGTACTACTGTGTGCAATGTTCCTACAAAGCTAAACTCAAAGATACTTTAAAATCTCATATTATGACAAAACACGAGATGAACAAGCGATATGCATGCGAGAAGTGTCCATTTCAATGTAGATGGAAATCACATTTAAAAATACACATAAATCGAATTCACTTAGATGAACAAGATGTTGAATGGCACAAGTGCAAAAAATGTCCATTCAAGGCCAAAGCTAAAAGTAATTTAACGAGCCATGTAAAAAGACGTCACTTGAATGACGAAGATGTTAGATGGTATAAATGCAATGAGTGTCCTTTCAAAACTACACATAAACATTATCTAAAGATACACGCAATTAGAAAACATCTAGCCGAAGAAAAAATTAACTGGCACGAATGTAAACAATGCCCATTTAAAACTAAAGGGGCGTCTGATTTAAAAAGTCATATGGTTTTTAGACATTTGGATGAAGTAAACGTTAAGTGGCATCAGTGTTATTATTGTCCATATAAGGCGAAATTCAAAACTTGTCTAAAGCGCCATATAAATCACCGCCATTTGGGTGAAACTGAAATTAAAATGTACAATTGCGATGAGTGTTCTTTCAAAACGAAAAATGAACGTTATCTAAAGAAACACAGAAATACAAAACATCTAGACGAAGAAAAAATTAATTGGCACGAATGTGAACAATGCCCATTTAAAACTAAATATGCATGGAATTTAAAAAAGCATATGATTTTCAGACATTTGGATGAAGAAAACGTTAAGTGGTATCAATGTGTTCATTGTCCATTTAAGACGAAATCCAATGCTACTTTAAAATCCCATATAAATCACCGCCATTTGGACGAAACGGAAATTAAAACGTACAAATGCGATGAGTGTTCTTTCAAAACGAAGTATGAACGTTATCTAAAGAAACACGCAATTACAAAACATCTAGACGAAGAACAAATTAATTGGCACGAATGTGAACAATGCCCATTTAAAACTAAATATGCATGGAATTTAAAAAAGCATGTGATTTTTAGACATTTGGATGAAGAAAACTTTAAGTGGTATCAATGTGTTCATTGTCCATTTAAGACGAAATTCAATGCTACTTTGAAGTACCATATAAATTACAGCCATTTGGATGAAACTGAAGCTAAATGGTACAAATGCGAACGCTGCGATTACAAAACTAAAAATCACTCATCTTTTTATTCGCACAGAAAGAAACATATTGGGATTTAGTTAATCATAAACCAGAAAGGAATTTTAATTTGTATACATATGTTGTTTGTTTAGCCGCTACTTTTTTTAGCCATGCAATGTACTATGTTATGTGACTTGGTTTTTTTATTAAGATCATAAATTATAGTTCTATTTTTGTTACATTAAATAAATGTAACAGTTTTAAAAAACAAAATTACATTAGTAGAACACATAGATGCAAAGTTTGTTACGCAATAAAAAATAAGGAATTACCATAAAATTTACTATTGTTTCAATTTAGGATTTAAATATCTTGGGTTTCTCGAGCAACACAGAGGGTGGATGGACTTTGTTGATGGGTTGCATTAGGAACGCAGCGAGGTTAATTGGTAGACACTTAAAGTGTTGTTTCTTCAATTCAGTGTGCTTTTTTCTGCTTCCAATTCTTCAATGACATCTTGAGTCTGGACCAGGTGTTCTTTATTTAATGTTTATCGTTTATGTATTTTTGGTGGAGCCAAATTTGCCACCATCGGACTAGTGTATCTGGTTCTAACCGGTAGTGTTCTTCTTCTTCTAAGGGTCAGTGGATTTTGTTTTGGTCTTTATGTACTTCCCCCGATTTGAATTGGTTTATAGTCGACCGGTTTTTCCAATTTTCTCTCTTGACTTTGCTTTCTTTGAGGGTGGAAATTACCCCTTCAATTGTTCTGTAGTTTATGCTTTGTATCTCTGTATCTAAGACGATTGATACAGTATTAATAATAATATTAATAATAATAATAATAATAATAATAAGAATATATATTTCGTGATAACCATTACAAAAATGTTTCACGTGTCCGTAAACTTAAATTTAATAAACTCAGATATAGAATAGAAAACGTTATTAATTAATAATTCTTTGACAACTTTACAAAATACATTCTCAGGTAACTCTTTTACTGACACTGGAAGTACATTATATAGTGCAATACAATAATTCCGTCGAGCTGTTCTTGTTCTCGTTTATCTTTGAAAATCTGTTTGTAGCCATTATTTAAATCTTGTTTGATGCTCATGGTCCAGGGATCTAAACTGATTTGGATTAGATTTCACATATCTAAGACAAGCATAAATATAAATTGCTGGTAGTGTCATAATACATACATTTTTAAATGATATCCTACAGTCATCTCTATAATTTAACCCGGCTATAATGGGAATACATTTTCTTTGGAAAGCAAATAATTTTTTAACAAATGATGAGAATGATCCCATATTAAAATTGCATATGATAAACAGTTATGTATATATCCAAAATATGCTGCTCTTAATGTTTTTTCAGACACAACTGGTAGTAGCCTGCGAAGTGTGTAGATTCTTTTTGATACTGATTTGCTCAACTTAACAATATGCTGTTCAAAAGTCATTTTTTTATCCAATATTATCCCTAGCATATTAATTGTTTCCTTAACACTATCCAGCTCTCGTAAAGAAAAATATAGTCTTTGAGTCTTACTCTCATTCCTACACAATTTATTGGACAAGAACCAATTATTGATTTCATTCTCGGCTTGAGTAAAGTCGTTTATTAATTTCTTTACATCCTGATTACTACCCGCTAGTGTCGTGTCGTCTGCAAACAAAATAAAGTTTGTCATGAAAGAACTGCTTGGTAAATCATTGATAAATATTAGGAATAGGATGGGACCCAAGACAGAACCTTGAGGAACACCATATCTTTTTAAGTGTCGTGCTGAGTTTAGAGTTTTATAATTAACATACTGGTACCCATTTGTCAAATATGATTTTAACAATAATAATAGACTTGGACTATCGAATCCATAAAGTTCTAGTTTTTTTAACAGCAAATCATGTGCTACAGATTCGAATGCTTTAGTTAGATCAAGGCATATTGCATAGGCATGTTCTTTCTAAACTAAATGCGTTGAACACAATTTCCGCTAATTTATTTACAGCCATTGTAGTTGAGTGGTTCTTCCTAAATCCATATTGTTTATGACAGTATAACATGTTTTGTTCAAAGTAATTATTTATTTGATTTTTGAGAATTATTTCAAATATTTTACTAAGTGTTGGAATTATGGAAATTGGACGATAATTTTTTAGAATACCCGTACCTTTTTTGAAAACAGGAATTATTTTTCCTAGTTTTAAAACATCCGGATATACACATTCTCGTAAGCATAGAATTATAAGCTTTGTTAGTGGAATTATTATTACATTAGTTAATACTTTTATGACTTTTGCATTAATATCATAGGCGTCTTTACTGCTACTATTTTTTATTACAGAAATAATTTAATAATAATAATAATATTTTATTATAACCCAACAAACAAATGTTTTTGTAGGGTATTAAAAAGAATACAATCTTACAAACTAAAGATAAATTCACTTAAAAGAAGTTCGTATCAAGTAAAAGTTTGATTCTATTCTGAAAAATAATATAAGATTCAAAAATATCGACGTTGTTTTGAACGCTGTGATAATAACGAAACATATTTAAAAGTGGCGAGTGTAGATGCTGATTCGTATTAGGCGTTTCAAAAGAAATGCTAGTAAAGGAGCGAACTCCATAACTCGGTACCTGAAAATTAACATTGCTAAGTAAAACAGGGCTATCAATAATACTATGAATTAATTTATATAAAAATACAAGTAAATTATAAGTTCGCCTCGAATTTAAGCTTGGCATATTAAACTGATCTAAAAGACTATCGTATGATACATTCCTATAAGGATAAGTGCCAGACATTACAAAATATAAATGTTTTAAGTGTTTTTTCTGAACACGCTCAATTGCATTGATATGTACATTGTAATAAGGACTCCATATTACGCTTGCATACTCTAATCTACTACGAACAAGAGTCTTATACAACAATTTTATACATTCTAGACTTCTAAACTCACGTGTATTACGATTTATAAAACCTAACATTTTAACGGCAGTGTTAACTATATAATTAACATGAGGCACAAAAGACAAACTAGAATCCATTATAACCCCCAAATCTTTAAATTCATTACATCTATCAATTTCCTCGTTGTTTATATAATAACTGCTTACTATATTTTTTATTTTTTTACTAAAAGTCATGACTTTACATTTTTTTCGATTTATTTCTAAGCCGTTATTAATGCACCAACTAACCACTATATCTATGTCACTTTGCAGTGATTTACAATCATTATCGTTAGCAATAACTTTGATGATCTTTAGATCATCAGCATATAGAAGGGGTTTACAATGTAAATGCTTAACAAGGTCATTAATAAAAATTAAAAATAATATCGGACCTAAATTTGATCCTTGCGTAACACCTGAATGAGTCCCGAACTGTATTGATTTATATCCTTGGTACTCAACATATTGAAACCTATGACTAAGAATCGAATACACTAAGTGAACAAGATTATTACATAGTCCAAATTTTTCGAGCTTAGTAATTAAAATGGTATGACTGACTCGATCAAAAGCCTTAGTCAGGTCTGTATACACTACATCTACTTGCTGCTTGCTGTTCAATGCATCCGAGACAAATTGTGTAAAGTCACATAGGTTTGTAATAGTAGACCGACCTTTGTAAAAACCATGTTGTTCTACAACAATTAAATTAGATACATGACTATAAATATGATTCGATAATATAGATTCAAACATCTTTGAGAAATTCGATAGTAAGCTAATTGGTCTGTAATTAACAATGTCATTATGCGAGCCTGATTTATGCACAGGGCAAATTTTGGAAAGTTTCCATCTCTTTGGAAAGTGCGCATTTGTAATAATAAGATTAAAAATATGTAAAAGCGGTGCAACAATACATGGTAAGCAGTCCCGCACAAGAAAAGCTGGTATATTGTCAGGGCCCATGGTGAATGAATTCTTCAGTTTTTTTCCAGCTTTGGTAATATCATTGGAACTTACACAAAAGGTATGCATCACATTTGCATAAACATCACAATTGGTGGTATCACACCTTGTAATTATTGGTGCACATTTATCGCCATTTGATGTATTACTTGCACTATCACAGCCACTATCATTATTTGGTTTATAAACACTACTAAAGTGTTGGGCGAACATGTCCACAATTTCTTGGGGCGATGTTAGCGACTTATTCATGTAAACCATATTTGCAGGAATTCGACTAGTGTTTCTTTTGTTATTTATATAGGCCCATAATTTACGAGAATCTTCTTTGACAGCGTTTTCGGCATTTATTTGAAATTTATAATACTCTTCACGGGTACGTTTTCTTATTATTCGACGATACATTTTAATTTTGTCCCGGTACATTTCAAATTTAAATTTTTTATGTAGCTTTATGTACCGATTTTTTTCTTTGATATAAAATCGAATGTCCTTTGTAAACCATATAGGGTAATGAGAGTATGAGATAGGACATTTGGGGACATAATAGTCTAGAAGCGTATATAATCTATTATAAAAGAAATCAGTTGCTCTGTCAACATCCTTTATTTGTTCCAAGTCATTCCAATCCATCAAACAAAGAGCTCCGTACAGTTCCTGATAATTAGCTTTCCGAAAATTGTATCTAACATTCGTTTCAATATGGCTTCCAAATTTTTTAGAACTATCTATTGACCAACTTAGTTCAACCACGAGGCTGGGATGTTGCCGATCTTCTAGGACCAGTGGATACTCACTACTGCTAACTACACAACTGATATCATTAGATACATTTATTACATCCAAAATTCTGCCATTAACGTTTAAAATCTGATTTTGTTGATGTAATGAGTTGTAGTTGAGAAAGTTAATGAAGGACGAGCACAACAACGACATTTTATTGGAAACATAGTAACTCTGAAGTTCACTAATATTGAAATCACCTGCAATGACTGTTGCTTCAGATGGCACCAGCGTTTGTTCAAGATACTCAAAAAGTTGTTCATATATTAATTCACTTTGAGATGGTGGAATGTACATGTTAACGAACTTAACATTCTTATTACAAAATGATACTTTAACTGCTATTACTTCAATTTCATCAATAGGGCAATCTAGA